ATATATATGCATGGCCGAAATAAAGTAATAAAAAGTTCATATGAAAAAAAAGGTCTAGCAATATATCTACATGGGTGTGCGTGTTCAACAAAAGTTGCAAGCACAGTTGCCTACTTTGGGTTTTCAATTAAAGTAAATTTAATTGAATATACTATTTTCTTTGTAATGACTTATAAAAAGACAATTATAAATTTATAATATTGAAGTCCTTAGATATATGTTACCTCATGGTACGTGGGTGAGATCCGTTGATGTGTACATCATCTGAGGATAAAGTGTATGTGTTTATAACTATTTAAAATTTTATAAAAATACTTGTAAATGGTTTTTTTATTAGATTAAATTTATTTATTATGGAAGGGAGAATATTGGATATTTGTGTGATTTTTGATTAAAGTGAGCTTGAAAACAACGCTTTCTTTCTTACCCACACATATTTTAGTTTATTTTCTTAAAATGCCCAAAAATAAGCCTTCACGATACATGCTTTTGTAGACCCACATAATTGGTCTCCCCCAACTCACATAAACACCATGCATGGACGATGATATTTGTGTTTTTTGCTTTTGGAAAATAGTGTTTGATAATTAAGAATATGGATTTCTCACGAATTATTTCACTTTCTATATTAAAATTCTTTCATATATCTAGGTTTCTAAGAAATTCAATAAAACAATCCTTTAGGAACAGTTTTTATTTCATGCACAAAACAGAAAGTAATGTTTGTAAAGAGTAGCAGGTTTCTTACATTTTGTAAAGAGTTCTACATAACCAAATATGAGTATATATACTCATCTATCCAAAAAATCTATATAAAATCAACCAAAATTATGAAATTTATAATTAGAAAATAATTTCTGGAAAAAAAAAATATTATGCAACTTGAGTTGTGTGCTAAAGATGCCACAACTTGGCTCTTGCCAAGAAATTTGGGTTGTGAGACAAATTGGCTAATAGTCAGTCAACAACTTTCGTTGCAAGCAGGGTTGTATCAGATGGTATGACAGTATGGACGATGACATTGGACCTTCATATTTTCGGAACCCATTGTTATGTACCTAGTGATACTATTTTAGAAATAAAAAAGTTTTTAATATTAAGTTGTCATAGGTAGTGGAAAAAAAGGGTCTCATTTATTTATTATGTCCGGAGCCTCAAATCCACTTGAATCGGCTCTGGTTGCAAGACAGCTTGATTGTTAGTCCCTGAGCAGACTAAACTATGGAAATGCACCGGCATGCTTGTCGATTTCTTCAATTTTATTTTATTCTATGATCTTTCATTGGATTCAAAGTCCAAAATTCTGAACATGTTAGACCCTGCAATAGGACACAAACCCTTTATCCTTAGTTTTTTTATTTGTTTGGGATCAAACTCATCATCTTATACGCATGCTTGCAATTCTATACCGTCTAAATTATAGTAGATCACACATTAAATCCCCAATTTAAATTTGTGTTAATTCAAATTACACTACATGACCGGCAACATTAAAATCACCAAAATTATTTGTTATGCTTTTAAAATTATAACATTTGAATCTTTAAACATTTGATTTCATAACATTTATATTTACTTATTCCATTTTAATGATAATATTTAAAAGATCATAAGTTGAGATTCTTTTAAGAATAACCAATCACAAATGTAGTTTCCCCATGTCGAGATTTTTTTTTCTAAGCTCTCGAATCAAAGGGCATATCCCTTTTCATTCGGCGGTAGACTCATGCTTTGCAAGGTGGTTTTGGGCATTCTATGGATCTATTGTTACTCGCTTTTCAAAGCCTCGATGAAAATTATAAAGACTCGAGAAAGTATCTGGATCAATCTAGAAATTGCAAAACCTTATCGAAAAATGGAAGCCCAAGACTTATTTTTCCTTGTTCTTGGGCCATGATGTATCCAAAAAATGACATTTCCCAAAACCAAAATAACCTACATATAAAATTATAAATTAACACCCATTTGTATAGTTTTTTTTTTTTTTTTCATTTGAAATTTAGAAAATGAATTATTATAAATTATTATCACTTGGAATACAAAGTCCATACTATCTATCTAAACATTAACCTTAAACTCTGTAAAAAAATATTAAACTCCATAAAGCGGGAGTAAGTTGCGAACAAAAGCATACGCTAATGCACCCGTAAAAACGTAACTATCCACCCTGTCAAGTATTCCACCTGCACCAAATATCACAAGACTAAAATTACACATTTGGTCCCTGTCCTCTACTCAAAATCCCAAGTTTGGTCCAATTCTTTAAATCTTTCTGAAGTTGTCGGTCCTCAGGTTTTGTGGATTTAGTCACTAAAAAAGATAAAATGACCTTTTTACCCCTGTTAAAGAAAGAAGAAATTACCATGGCCGGGAATGAGGGAGCCTGAATCTTTGACACCAGCATCTCTCTTGATCATGGACTCAAGGAGGTCACCAAAGAGAGATCCAAAGAAGTTGAGGAAACCGAACCCAATTGCACTGAAAAAATTAAAAAAAAAAAAAAAAAAAAAAAAATACATATTGAGAAAGTTTGAAGGACTGAATATGACAAGATTTAAAAGTAAAAGTGTACCCGAGTGTAGAAGTAGGCCAAGAAAGAATCTTTGATAACAACACACAAGTGGCTATGCAACCTGTTAAACCTGCAAGAGCTCCTTCCCATGTTTTCTTCGGACTGATACTCGTAAGTGGGGTCCGACCAAATGCCTGGAATGAAACTCAAAAACATTAATGTCATAATTACTAACTTACTTTTGCAGATATTTTGGAATAGATGAATGAATGGTAAAGGAAATTTGTTGAAGAAAATATAGGTTATGTAATTGTTTTTGTTACAGGGGTAATTTTTTTTTTGTCAATGTCTATTACTTATATTCTATTCAGTGGTCACTTTAAATCTACCAAACAATATGGATTAATGGTTTATTCTAATTCTTCCATGATAACCAAACATGACAATAGAAATATGGAATGATATTGTCTCATTCCATTACCAAGAACTTGCCATTAACCTGATCAAGCACTTTAGGGACATCACATTCACCCATATTCCGAGAATGTCCATTCCATTACTTGATTCATTCCATTCTGTCTTGGGTTGGGCTGATTTTCAAGGAATGTGATTCCTTCTCCTGGGTTGATTTTCATTCTATGGGGGCGGGATTCATTCTGGGAATGGAATGTAGGGGTGACAATTTCTGACACGACACGAAACGAAATTGGGACGAAACTGAAATTCGAATTCGTGTTTGTGTCAAGTGTAGAAAAAATGATGTCGTGTTCTTGTTCAAAATTCAACACGATATTGACACCATTTAACATTTCTATTTCGTGTTTGTCGTGTTATGTATGATTAAGTATTAATTAAATAAACTAGTTTTTAGTTTATTTTTTCTTTGCCATGTCGTGTTTGTTGTTTTTTAATCTGTTCATTTTCGTGTTAGTTAAAAAAACACGACATTGAGTCGTGTTGTGTTCGTGTTATATAAAATCTTGTCGTGACAAAAACACGAAACGATAGCATGATTTGCCACCCCTAATGGAATGATATATATTTATATTTAGAAACTACTTTTATTCATATACTTTTCAATAATATTAATCTTTTTAGAATTTTTACAACTTCAAATATTTTTATTTTTATTTTTTATTTATAATTATATTTCAAGATCTCATTGCATCTAGTTTTTGATTTTATAATTTTTTTATCATAGATAATTCTTTTTTAAACTACTTGTAAAACATATTAAATGTATTTTGAACCAAATAAAATATGCTTATATGCAATTTATTTAACCATGTCTTTTTCTTTAATTAAAGTTAATATATATATATATATATATATATATATATATATATATATATAAAATCAATTTTAAACTACTTAGGTTTATATTTATGGATAAAAAACATATTTGAATGACCCATTCCATTCTTTTGAGCCAACCAAACATGACAATGGAATGTAATGATCAATTTCATTACCTTGCTCATTCCATTACGTCGTCCATTCCATTCCTTCGTATCAAACAGACCTTGTATATTTTGCTTAACAAACCAAACATGATCATGGAATGTAAATATGTAATGACTTGTTACATTTATGCAGAATCCCACTTTTTTGAATACCAACATAAACGCTAAAGTTCCATAATTCTCCCAAGACCTTTTTACCTTTACTACTACTACCCATGGCAAGGTTTTATGGGGTTGCATATGCTTTTAGAATAGAGAGAGGGTCAACCTAGGGCCTAGCGAATCATGTTTTAAGAACAACGATATCAATCAATTTAAAAGAGAAAAGTCGACAATTAATTTCAACGGTAAAAGTTAAATCAATTGGAATGCTCAAATAACTTCTTTGGGCTTGGTTAATAATACATAGTGGTATTGGAAATCTAGATGAGCCGACACTAGATCTTTTCAATAGCTTTTTGTACAGTTTTATAATCTTGCATTAATTACTTGGTCAGCTAAATTGCAGTATTGTAATAGTAACATATTTAGCCCTTTTTCTAGCAAAAGGTTAGGGTATCAATGTCCCATTACAAGGTACCCACCAAGTATGTTAACCATCCTACATGTACAAAATATAGCAAACAAAACTTATGGAATTACATGTTTTGTAAACGCATGATGGTTAACATGCTTAGTGGTGGACTATATTGGGACATTGATAGATCCTGACCATTTGCTAGAAAAGAGGCTGAAATATGTTATTGATACAATACTGCAACTTAGCTGAATAAGTAATGCATGCAATATTGTAAAATTTTACAAAACGTTGTTGAAAAGATTGAGTGTTGGCTTATCTAGATTTCTAAGTATTGTTAACCAAGCTTAAAGAAATTATTTGAGCATGCTAACTGATTTAACTTTTACTGCTAGGATTTTGTCTTGTTTTTTTCTTCTAAACTGATTGTTATCGTTGTACATAAAGATGTCATCAAAAAATACATAAATATAAAGTTGGTTATAATGCAAGTTTTCAATCCATTCCATAAAAGAATGGAAACAAAAACACCCTTGGCTAAGGAATGAAGAAGATTAAAAGAATGGAAGTTCAGGAATGGTCCATTCCATTGACAAAACAAACACTTTTTTTTCTCATTTCAACGGAATAAACTATTCCATTCCTTCCCTAATTCCATCATACCAAACACTATCTAAACGATATCAAACTCAACTTAAATAAATCAAGAAAGTCAAAGTCAAGATAATATACCTTTCCACCAGCAAAAGCAAATGTATCTGCTGCAATTACACTGCTGATAGATATCAATGTGGCCACAAGACCAACAGTCCAATGAGCCTGACCACCTAAAAGTATAGGCCATGTAGCTCCCACTCCTCTTGAAGATACAACTCAAATTAGTAACATCATAACCAAAACCACATTATTAAAAAAATAAGGAATTAAAAAAGCTTACCAGAATTTAACGCAGGTGCAGTCAAACGACATCTAAGTTTGACCCAAAAAGACGGAAGATATCCACAATAAAACAACCCAAACATTGTACTACTAAGTTGAGAAAAACGAGGATTTCCTCTTTGTAAGAGCAGTGCCATAGCAACAATAAAGGCTGCTGATGTCACAGAAACATCAATTTGACCCTTGTATCTGAAAATAAGAATATGCAATGATTATGGAAAGAAGATAAGGAAATGGTGATGTTGTTATGTAAAATATGTGGTGGATGGATTTTACAGAGTGAATAAGGGAAGGAGAGCACAGATGACTGAGCAAACTCGGGAGACATAACGAGGTGGAGGAGTCATTCCGGAAGCAATTCCATGGCTTCTGACAAGTTCAAAGTATTCTCTTGAACCAGCGAAAACAGCAGCAGCTAAGGCTATGGAGAATACCCATCCTCCTGCTAGTACGATTCCACCGGCGGAAACACCGATTCCGATTCCGAAGATGACTCGTTTTGCTAATTGACTTGATTTCTGTTGTTGGAGTAACTCCGGAACGTTTGTGTGGTCTTCATTAACCTACACATATTCGTTCTCAGTGTCTATAAAGTGACTGGATTTAGAATTTATCCAGATGAAGAAATTAAGAAAATATGGTAAATATGTTCGGTCCTTATTTCCTTCTATAGATTATTTACAGAGCTAGATGGTTTATGCGGCATCTTCAGAATGGTATGTGGGAACTCATTCTAAAGTCCACCCATGTTCCAATCGGTTGCAAGTGGATTCAGATTTAGTCTAAAATCTGATGTAACTTATCCTGGATAAACTCAAATTAGTTGTAATACTAGGTGTATACTTTGTTTCCCCTAAAATTAGTTCTACAAACAATGCACATGAACACTAGCAATTCAAAGTAAAATTCAGCTTCTAGATAACAATTCGTGACACCAATTGTTTATGAAAATTCATACTCGTTAGTCATTACCTCAACGGGTTCCTCGTCTTCAGTCTGGTTGGCGTCGGCTCTGGCCACTAAAGTCTGAGTGAAAATCTTGGATGAGTTGTAATGAATTCCAAATCCACCATTTTGAATTCGCAAAAACCCTCTCCCTTTCGACGAATCAAAGAAGTTCAATTTAAGCTTCGCAGAAGGTCGGCATGAAATTAGGTTTGTAGAGAGACAGCGGCGAAAACGGCAAGCGCGAAAGGAAGACGCAACTGAAATTGGATTGAATTCGCTGCTGCTGCTACTGAGTAATGTATCGATTTTGACGCAATATGGAGAAGAACACGCCATTAAAGAAGGTGCCGCAGTCATCCGGAGGATAATCAATCCATATCTGAAGCGATTTTATCGAGAGGACGAAGGAATTGAAATTGGGATTGGGGATGACGATAGCTGTGAGGAAACGATATGCAAGTGGCTGTGTACATAGTATCCAGGTGGCCGTGTGTATAGTAATTTACTTTTATTTATTACCGTTAGGTTACAACCCTGGGAATATAAGTAAAAAATTTATAAAACATTTATATTATTAATAAGAGTTAAATTTGTTTAAAACTTTTTGTATTTATTATTTAAAATTAATATATATTTATAAAAAATAATATAAATTTAAGTATATTGTAAATGATTTATTAAACAAAATATAAATTTCAATTGATTAAAACGATGATTAAAGATGTTTCAAGTATATATAGAACCGAATACGATTAAAAGGAGTAAATAAATCAAATTAATTGCAATTTATATCATACCTAATATATTGTCATACATTAATACGAAATTAGAGGACTGAATCGGGTATCTATTTCAAACGTATCACATTAAATTTAAATAGAGATCATATACCATAAATACCATAAAAATCGGATATTAAATGCTGATTTATTTTGACCTGGACATTATAGAAGGTGAAATCAAAGAGGGACAAACGGTATTTAATATTGGATGAAATTAGTGTTTTCGAAGGGACACGTGACAATTTACTTTCGTTTATTAGTTAGGGAGATTTACCGGGATAAATTCATAAATTACACTTTTGTTTTTGTTTTTTATTTTGTTTTTTTTTTCAACCGGCAAATGGATATATATAATACAAAAAAACCAACCTCTAGCAAGTGACTAGAAGAGGAGATGATTACAAGCAAAGAAATGGACAACTACGTCATGCTAACCAATCAATGTTGTTTTTTTTACCCCTATTTTTATCCACAGGTAAGTGATGGATTTGATAATGTCTATATGATTGTAAAGAGACAGCCGGATATTTTTGAAGACGCTTTCGTTTCTTGTTTTTCATATACTCCAAAGCATGCCGTAACATATAAATAAAAATGTTTTGTAATGGGACCCTTTTTGCCACCCCTAATGTGTGATGCTTATCAAATCTTTAGTACTTTTGACAATAATTACATGTAAGACATTTGGACACCAATAGACTTTACATGCTTATTTTAAAAGCATAAACATGAGTTGAATGCCAAATGACAACACAAATTAGTTAGGTTAACCTAACAAGCCTATCTAATACATGAGTGTCCATATCAGAACTTAAAACCTAACCAACCATTAACTAAAAACGTAAACAGTCATCTATGCAGTAATTAGTCGTATGGTTAACATGAGAGGTCAATAACAACGCAAATACATGAACTTGAGGAAACTAAATCCCATGAATACATGAAGATAATTATGTTTACATATTACCCCTTCCTTAGCCAAATTTCTTTTACAAATTTGGTCGTTAACTTTTTATTACATATTTACCAAAACCGTGTCACAGATTTGCCACAACTTTTTTTTTTTTTTTTTTTTTTTTTGGCTTTTTTCTTTTAGGTCTATCCAAAATAATCGATTGAACATAAGTTACATAATCCAAAACTTGAACTAACAACCTTTGAATCATAAGATACAAGACTGTTACGTTTTTAATCAAGTCACAAAGAGCTAAATACTTGACAAAGATGGATTAAATATTTTACAAGTGAAGAGATAAAAGAGGAGCACACCAAATAATAAACATTTGTAAAAGTTATTACAACCCATATCATACTAAATAAAACCCATAACTCAAACACAATCAGCAGACACAATTAGAAAAAAACATCTCCTTAAATTACCACAAATTAGGTTACCCATTTTTGAACATATTTTTCTTCTTCTACTAACACCTATGGCAAAATTGACAAGAGAATTAGGCTTTTTCTTTTTACTTGATCAAATATCCCACAATCAACCCAATCAACCCAATGATGACAACATATATCAAAGGGATACCACCAACGTTGCTTTTCTTGCTTTCACGTCTCAACAATTCCTGCAAAAAAATTATTTTTTTATTTATTTCTTTACTAATTACAACTACAAGTATTAATAAAATAGGAAAAATAAATAAATAAAGATATGTACCAGTTCCTTGTGAAGCTTGTTAGTTTGTTGAATAGCAGAATTCTTCTCTTCAGTCAACTTATAAATAAGGGACTTAGCCTGAATTTAAAATCAGATTGATATAAATAATGTTAATGAAGTATTTTCATAAATTATAATCTCCTAATAAGAAAAAAAAAAGTACAATAATGTAATGATACAGAATAAATGAAAGTTACTAACTAACCTCTGATGACTTTTCGTGAGATTCAGCAAATGATCTTGGAGCCTGAAAAAATTAAAATGCATACATTCATATGTCAATTCTCTAAAGTTTAAACTAATCTACATGATAAAAAAGATTTATCATTTATCATATAGTAATGAAAAAAAAAACAGAATTTAAAACTTACAGAATTGGATTCTATAGTATTATTTATTGTTCCATTATCAGAAATTGAACCCCTTGGAGAAGAACCCTCTTCAGATCCTTCTCTTACTGGAGAAGGTGGTTGTGGTGGAGCAACATAATTAACTTTTAACTTGCATTCCTCCATTTGATTTCCTGATTCTTTATTAAACTATTAACATTCAAATGTGTAAGATTTTTTTTTATATACAGATTTAATAGTTTAAAGATTGAACAATTAGCTTAATTAATTACCAGTTCTGGAGTGATATCTTTTGGTGCAGTTCCAGGACTTGCAACTGCACTTTGAAGCAAAAACTTATCCTTGCATTGCATGTCTGGAGGAGCCTCCTTTTGAGCTTGCATTGTAACTAAACAATAAAGACTTAATCTTAATCTTTATATCTTTATAATTAAGTTACATAAGTATACTGTTTATTAATATTATAGAATGATAAGAAAAGTGGGTAAAAGCTAGTATTTAAGATCATGATCATCTCTCCTATTTATTGCTTCCACTTTCATATCATTCACTTCAAGAGAGTACATCAATGATGTTGAACTTTGAATGCATAACATTAATGCATGAAAAAGTAAAGAATGCAAAATGGGACCCAAGATTTGGAAAGGTGTAAACACTTTATATGTTCAATTCCCTACTTTATAGTTTATACTCTTCTATCCAAAATAGACAATAAATTTTACTTGTACAAACATCTACATCTTGTGCTTTACAAACTTACAAATTGGTATGATATGAGATAGGGACCTCAAGGGGAAAGGTGTTGAGTGGGATCATATAAGAAGTTAATTTTGTAAATTGTAAGCATGACAAATGGCCAACATCTCGATGTGGGCATGTAAAATTATGGCAATTGATTTCAGAACATCAAGAGAAAGTGAAATCTGATGAAAACTAATGTAGATAATCTCTGTGTAGTGAGTTGTAATTCTGGTTAGGGACAATAAACCCTTTTCTCAAGATCTAAGTATTTACCCTAATTCTGTTTTAGAACAGAGGAAGCATGTTATAGTGATGATGATGATAGTATCAAGTAACAGCCATTAATAGACCAGGCAACAAACAAACGCAATGGAAAAGGGAAAGGGAAAGGAGCGAACCTATGACATCGCAAGTAGAGTGAGGCAACACAATCCCAGTGTTAGGCCGGACACAGTACTTCTTCGGATTCGTAGTTTTCACCTGAAATTCAGCAAAACAGAAAAACGATACTTACATAATTAGTCTCGATCTTGTTCTAAATTTTCTTGAAGGCTAACGTCTGTAGTCTAGATTTAACATCAACAACTTCAGATGACTATAATTAAACTGATAACTTCAGAAAGTTCCTTAACGAGTAAGCTTTACATTTCCAATTCACGAAAGAGACAGAAAGAAGACTTTTGAGTTCAAAATCAAAAGAGAGTAATAATACCTTGAAAGCCACATGACTATCCGTTTTATTCCTTAGTTGCATGGAACATGTGATCTGCTTCTTCAGTTCGACTATACAACAGACAAGCGAATTACAAATCATCAGAGGTTGATTGATTAGGGGAAAAGGACAACAGATCTGGAATGAAAAGGCGAACTGTGAAATAAACTAATTTAAGTAGTAGAAGTATCTAGGATTTTACAAGGAAATTGAAGCTCTTGAGGTTCGATGCTGAGAAGCTCTCCCGTACTCATCTCTGTTTGTTTTCTCAAACAAGATCGCTAGTGAATCGTCACCGGATACCTAAAGATAAGAGGTAATTGTACCCGGATATTAGCCGGAGAAGGTATATTCTGTAACCGACGGCAGAAAATCTAGAGAGAGAGAGAGAGAGAGAGATCTTGTTTTTGAATCGAAGATGACGATGTTTCTTTTGTCATCTGATTATGATTAGGCAGCAGTTACTCTTATCCGGTTCACTTCTTACGGATCAATCCGGTTCACCTTAAATTTTTATTCCGGTTCACAGCTAATTTTTGGGTAAATTATGCATCCGATCTTTGATCCATTAAAAAAAGTTGTGTTTGATTGAAAATAATAGAAAACTATATATTTTTAGTTATTTTTAGAAAGTAATATCGTAATTTAGAAGAAAATTAAAAATTGAAAAACTGAGTTATTTAAATAAAAATTGTTTGTGTTATAGTTTTCCATTCCACTCATGATTAAATTGAAAACTACTATGAGGCTAAATAATAAAATTTAACAAAACAATATGAATAATAATAGTTCTTTAGCTTAACATTAATGAAGTAAACTATATAAATCATTTATCATTTATATTTTATAAACTATAGTGTCATCCCTACAAAAGTACTACACCTTAATTCCGTCAAAATGACAACTATGGCCTTGAAAATCAGATAGAAAACTCTCCCGTTGAAAAGTCAAACCATACAATACAATGAAGCCGTTGATTCCCAGCCATCTCTCCTCCCTCGTTTCCAAGATCCGACCTTCATTTTTACTCCAATTTCACACTTCCATATCCAAAAATCCTACACCCATCTCGTTCCCCGATCATCAAACCCCAAGAAGATCAAACACAGATCAAAATCTTTCAGTACGAGAAGAACACATAGTCAACCGAACCACTATCCTCGAAACTCTAACATGTTACAGCAACGATTGGAAACGCGCTATGGAGTTCTTCAATTGGGTTGAATCGGAATACGGGTTCAAACACACAACAGAAACGTATAATCACATGATTGATATATTGGGTAAGTTTTTCGAATATGATCTTGCATGGCAACTGATCGATAAAATGCCTGTGAGAGACCATACTACATTTCGTGTAATGTTTAAGCGTTATGTTTCCGCACACCTTGTTCAAGAAGCAATCAGTACATATGATAAGTTAGGAGAATTTAATTTAAAAGATGAGACGTCGTTCTTGAATCTTATAGATGCATTGTGTGAGTATAAACATGTAATCGAAGCAGAAGAGTTATGTTTAGGTAAAGATAAGAACTTTAAAGAAAAGATTGCATCTTTTGAGATGGGTACTAAAGTGTATAACATGATTCTTCGTGGGTGGTATAAAATGGGGTGGTGGTCTAAGTGTAGAGAATTTTGGGGACAGATGGATGAGTATGGAATTAGTAAAAATTTGTTTTCTTATTCAATTTACATGGACATTCAATGCAAGAGTGGGAAGCCATGGAAGGCTGTGAAGCTGTATAAAGAGATGAAGAAGAAAGGGATTAAATTGGATGTGGTGGCATACAACACTGTTATCCGTGCAATTGGTGTTTCAGAGGGTGTTGATGTGGCTGTTCATCTTGGTTGTGAGATGCTGGAATTAGGCTGTGAACCAAATGTTGTAACTTACAATACAATCGTTAAACTTCTGTGTGAAAATGGGAGGGTCAAGGAGGCATATAAGGTGCTCGATAAAATGTCTAAGAGAGGATGTGCACCCAATGTGATCACTTATCATTGCATTTTCAGGTGCTTGGAGAAGCCCAATGAGATTCTTGCAATGCTTGATAGGATGATTGAGAGTGGTGTATGTCCGACTATGGACACATATGTATTGCTTATAAGGAAATTTGGGAGATGGGGTTTTTTGAGACCGGTTTTTATAGTTTGGGAGAAGATGGAAAATCATGGTTTGAGTCCGAATGAATTTGCTTATAATGCTTTGATTGATGCTTTGGTGGAAAAGGGTATGATCGATATGGCAAGAAAGTATGATGAAGAGATGTTGGCAAAAGGACTCTCAGCTAAATTGAGACCCGAGTTAGTGAACGGAGAAAGTGAGGATGGATAATTGACATAAGGGCCCGTTTGTAATACATGATAGGAAAAACAGATAAATTGTACTGTGTTTTCGATTGAAAGACTGAGACTGATGTCAATGAGACAAAATTACAGTAACATTTAGTGCTTAAAGGTTGGTCTCCGCTTAACTCACCATGGGAAGTTAGGAAGCTAGAGGTTGATGGAAGGGAGGTGAAAACTATGGATAGTCATTTGGCTTTCTATGTATTATTATTTGATTTACATCTCAAAGCTTTATTATTATTATTACTATTATTTGTTTTTTGAGTTTTTCTCTGTTTTGAAGCGTCATATGTAATCCACTACAAGTCAACTTTATGTGTATTCTAACACGTTCTTTGAAGCATAGGAATTCATAACCCCACAAAGTAAATACTCCTCTCTAAACATCTCAATATAGTTAGAGTAAATTACACGAATGGTCCCTATGGTTTGGGGTAATTTGCGCACTTGGTCTCTAACTTATTTTTTTAACTCGGAAATTCTCTAGTGTTTGTTTTTGTTACGCGTTTGATCTCTACTGTTTGTTTTTGTTACGTGTTTGGTCCGTACTGTTTATTTTTGTTACGTGTTTGGTCTCTGTCTTACCTAAAAAAAACTATTATTTAAATAGGGAAAAATGGTGGGGTAGGTAAGGTAAGGTGATGGGATGGGGTTGAGGGTGTGTTTATTTAAATAAATTGAAAAATTAAGGGCAAAATAGTTTTTTAGGTAAGACAGGGACCAAGCGCGTAACAAAAACAAACAGTAGGGACCTTCCGAGTTAAAAAAATAAGTTAGGGACCAAACACGCAAATTACCCTAAACCATAAGGACCATTCATGTAATTGACTGATATAGTTATCCCATTAAAATTACGGATGCTGCATAATATCATCTTTGCTGCTTGATCATTTAAGGTTATAATGCCTTAATCTTTCAAGGGCTAAAATCATATAACGTGACACCATCAAATTTTGAAAAGAGAAAAACTCCAATATTCGACAATAAATAATGACTAAACCTTATCCCAAAACAACTTAATCTAAATCAACAAATTATACATGTCAACAAGATAGGGCTGTTGATCAGGTATAACTTTCGGGGTTCGGATAGTTTAGGTTTTAAAATAAATAATAATAATAACTGATATCCGACCTATAATAATAACTAATTGTTGTTGAAATGTTATTATATTTTGTTTAAACGTAGATAAACATTATTTTGACTACAGGTTTTGAAATCTAAACATTAGGTAAATATCTATTTTAAGTCATGTTCACTATGTTTTCTTTCTAATCTTTCTGTTTTACAACCTTTGTTTTTTGTTTTTTTAATTTTCCTTTTGATTTTGTTATTCTTTTGATTTTGTTATTGAGTTTTGATATTATTTTTCTTAAAGTGAGTGTTTGATTGTCTTGAAATAGGAATATTGCAACATGAATTTACAGTGCTTCGTTTTACACTATTTTATAATACCGTTTTTAGAATACAAGTAAACCTGTTTTTTAGAATAAAAAATGAAGAATAAAGATGGTTACAAATACTTCAATTTACAATGTTACGTTTAGCACTATTTAATAAAACCGTTTTTAGGTTATGAGTAAATATGTTTTCTAGATTACATCCAGTTTGGATTTTTGTTCCCGTGACAACCCAAAAATTAAAGCCTTAAAGTAAAGCAAACAGTTTCGAACTTGAGACCCTTAGTTTTATAAACGGGAAATGACTTTTTAGGATAACTAACTGTTGCGTTTGTTTTCATTTGGTCTCTTTTTTTTTTGTATTCAATATACCATCGAACTTGTTGTTTGTGTTCACCATAACCCTTTTGACCGGCTTTTGACCTGTTATAGTCAGTTAAAGGGTTATGGTGAACACAAACAACAAGTTTGATGGTATATTGAGTACAAAAAAAAGGAAGGAGACCAAATAAGAACAAACTCAACAGTTGGTTACCCTCTTGAGTCATTTTCCCCGAAAAGTTAAATGAAATTAAAGTTGCAAAATTATCAAAGACTACAACATTCTTTGGCCATAACGTATATGAAAAGCGTTTCGAAGGGGTAACTTCGTTAAAATAAGGTCTATGTTATTCTTACTGTGGTTAGGTGTCAACACCTTTCTACAAAAGGATATGACTGTGTATCAGAGGTATATTTATCAACATAAACGTTTACTACAAGGTATATTATGGTGATATGTCTGCAAAAGTTGCATGATATTGTACATATTGATGTTGTATCTTATCCCATGAATTCGATCTTAAAGCTAAGTAAACTAAAAAATCACAGCACTTGTGATTCCACTCGTTTGTAGACTTGTCTAGAATCCATGATACGATAAATCATTTGATTAGAAAAGTAAATGTAGTCATTAAATGCACATGCTTAGTCAAGATTTCCCTAATAAGTATTCAAGTGCATTACAAAGTTGTATATGTATGAATAATGTTATTTCGTGAGTTATGTTTTGAAGAGAAGTAAGAATGAATCTCATAAAGTCATTAATATCATCAGGAGATGACGTGAGATTTGCTGTAAATGAGTAAAGGGAAAATGAATAAGGAGGGTAACCAACTGTTGCATTTGTTCTCATTTGGTCCCTTTCCTTTTTTATGTACTCAATATACCATCAAACTTGTTGTTTGTGTTCACCATAACCCTTTGACCGGCTATCACAGGTCAAAAG